GAGGGCTTTAGGCCCAGAAGCAGGACAAAATCACTTCCACCACACTCCCCTGGCCCCGCAGTCCCCCAGCTTCAGTGGACTATGAGAGAGGATGACCTATGGACTCCCCAGACGCCCAGGAGGACGGGGACAATGGGCGAGAGGGACATATGCCCACCTCCTCTCTCCATCACGACATGTCCCTTCCCTTGTCCTCCCTATAGCCGTTAGATTTTAGGTGGAGGGTGCAGACCATGTGGGGTTGAAGCTTTCCTGGCCCCTCAGAGCCACACTTGTCTTTCCACCTCAGGGGGCCTGGCCTGAGCCCCTAAGCAAAAGCTCGATCCTCTGGGCCTGGGTGGGGGAAGCTTCCTGTTTCAAGCCGCCCCAGCAGGGGGAGGCGGCCTGTTGCTGCATCCCCCCACCTGGGGCTGTGGCTGGCAGGAGCCCCCTCCCCTGGGCCTGCTCCAGCCTAGGGCCTGCTGCTGCTCAGAAAGTCTGCTCAGCCTCCTCTCCCCTGCCTTTGGGACATCTTGGATGCTCAGTAAATGGTTGTTGAGTGAACTAAAGAAGGGACTAAGGAAAGAAGGTTGGAGGATGGGAACTGGTTGGGGCCGGCGTGGAGGGCAGGCTCATGTCATCTCCATGGGCAAAGCTGCTGGCAACCTGGGTCTGTGACTTCTGGCTTCTGACTTCTGGCTTTGCCTGGGGATGTATTTTTTCTTTGTGTGTGTGTGTGTGTGTGTGTGTGTGTGTGTGTGTGTGTGTGTATTTTTAAGATTTCGCTTATTTATTTGTCAGAGAGACGGAACAAGAGAGCAAGCACAAGCAGGGAGAGCAGCAGGCAGAGGGAGAAGCAGACTCCGTGACGAGCAGAGCCCGATGCGGGACTCCATCCCAGGACCCTGGGATCATGACCTGAGCCGAAGGCAGACGCTTAATGACTAAGTCACCCAGGCGTCCTGTCTTTATGTGTTTTTTAAAAGTTTCAACTGAATGCATTGATTTGGGGGCAGGAAATATGTTCGGGTGGTACACACGGGTCTACAGTAACAAACATCCTTTCTACCTCCCCCTTTCTGACCTGGCTTTCCTTCCGGGGAGAACCAACGTTCCCGGTTTCTTGAGAAGCTTCCAGAAATATTCTAGGCTTAATACATCTTGGCTATTCTTTTCGTCTTTGTGGTGGTTGTGCTGATGAGCTACTCCTGCTACGAAAGCCTTGCTCTGGGAGAGAGGAGGGGCTGGGGAGCCCTCTCTGTGCGGCGGACGGTCGGAACCATCGTGCCTCCTTCCGCCGGGTGGACACTGATGCCCAGGAAGGGAGGGTCACTCTGCGGGCAGGCTCTGAAGAAGGTCCCACTCTTCTCAGGGACGCTGGCCTCCTGCTTCTGTTTCTACTCAGAAGGGAGCCCACTGACTCTCTTCTCAGGCTGTCAATGCTGCTCTTCCTTCCATGCAGATGGCAGGTTCCATGGAACTGCTTATCAGAAAGTGCCCCTGAAGCAGGGTCATTAAAATCAGGAGAAAGAGAGAACACAGAGCTCCTGCTTCTGGATGCTGGATAGGACTTCACGGGCCCCTGGGCCTGGGACGCTGCGCCTGACCAGGTGTGCACCTTTCTAAAAAGGGGCCCCCAGTTTCTCATCATTTGGAAAAAAGTCCTGAGCACGGGGTGGATGGGGAGGAAAGGCTTAGGAGCTATGACTTGAAAAGAAAGCTTCTAGAATGCTTAGTAAGACGCCAGCAAAGTGTTTGCAAAGTCCTAGATCAGGGTCTTCTCTGAAAGCTGAATTAAGTAGTGGGCTCCCTGGAAGCCTGGGTGAAAAGGGAGGTCTCTGAGAGGTGGTGGTATAGGTGTGAGTAGCGCTGGGGACACCTCAAAGGACTTATTAGTGGCTGTGTGTGTGTTTGTGTGTGTGACTGGATGAAGGTGTCAGAGGCTTGAAGTGGCCCCCTATGAGATGGGCTGGGGTGGTGGAGGGGGAAAAAGAAGGGGCTGTACCCCTCAGGCTCCTACGTGCCACAAGGCACCCATATGAGAGGGACCGGGCGTGTATGCGTGTGTGTGTGTGAGTGCGCGAGAGAGCATATGTGAGTGTGTCGGCTGCCAAGACACCCACACGGTCCCACCTCCCCCCAGCGGGGGAGGAAGATCTTTATCGGGCCCCTAGGTGCTTCAGGAGTTTCAGAGTTTCTCACCAGCCTGATCTCTCCCCGTCCCCACCCCAGGCCTTGCCCCCTCCATCCTCTGCACAGGAAGTGGGCTGGCCCTGGGGTTTTAGTCTTTGCCGGCCTCCTCAGCCAGCTGCTACCTGGGCTGCCTGAGTTGGAGGGAGTCAGAGCCGGGCTCCGGGGGAGATGGCTGCGGACTCAGCAGCGGAGAGATCCCGAGAGAGCGCACTGCGGCCCCATGTCTCAGCCAGGTGACTTTGCCCTCACCCTGCCGCTGCCTGGTTCCCAGCGACCTGGGGTCTCCCTCCCGGCCATGCCAGCAGCTTGGGGCTGGAAGCGAAGGTCATGGGACAGCTTCCAGCTCTCATCTCCTAGATGCCCCAGGAGGTTCCACTAGAACTTCCATCTCCCAGCCCTCCTGGCCCCCAACCTTATCTCGAAATCCCTCCAGGATGGGGCAGGTCCTGATCAGGGTTTTGGCTTTGAAGAAAAAGCTGCTCCCTAGTTCTGGGCTACCCCTCCTTCCCAGCCCATCCCTGGGGAAGCTGGGGGCTGCTCTGGGATAAGGGGCATCCTAACCCAGAAGGGGTGAGGAAAGAGGCAGGAGGACTGGGAGAGGAGAGGCCAGCTGAGCCCCAGATGGAGGACACATGGGATGTGGGGTAGGGAGACACACGAGCTGTGGAATGGGACCCATGTTGGGGAGGCATCCCCGTGTAAAGTGCTCCTTAAGAGGCTCTGGGGTGGGAGGGGAGGAAGGGGGCCCCTCTGAGACCTGGCCATGAAGTGGGGTTGTTTCCTCTCTGGGGGCCCTGGGCGGCAGCGGGGGCGGGGGGCACAGACTGGCGGGTTTGAGTTCGGATTGTCCCTCCCTTGGCCGTGTGAGCAGACAGGTCTGTAGTGTCTCCAGGCACCACTAGAGTGGATAGGATTCCATCTCTGGGGCTGGCCTTTCTCCTGGGGACAAGGCCTCCTGTCCTGGACTGTGTTTGGAGACCTCAGCGGGGGGTGGCTGGGAGGCAGAGCCATTTCTGAGGGACCCCCTCCTAGCCCTATAGCCTGGATTCCGAACCCAGCTGGGGAGATGCTTCTGGAGTTAAACAGCAAGAGGCCAGCTCCCCGCCCCTCCGCCCACCACCTTGTGTGCTGGGGGGCGGTGGCCAGGAGGATGAGGCAAGATGGTGCCCATCACAGCTGGTGGTCTGGCTGTGGAGCTCTTGCCTCTGGTCCTCACCCCACCGCCCCCTGCCCTCTGCCCGCGCCTCCTGCCCCCAGCGCCCCATGGCCCACAGTTTCAGCCCCAGCAGTGGCGGGAAATCAGGCAGTACTGACCCAGTTCAACACCTGGCTCGGCCCCACTCTGGCCTGGGTGAGAGGCTTACTGGCCTCAGCCTCCTCATCTGAGAAAAGGAGTCATAACGGTACCTACTCCCAGGGTTGCTGCAGGGACTAAGTGGGGTGATATCTGCTGAGTGCTAAGGACCTGGGCACAGAATGAGAGTCAAGTATTAGTCACCAGCCCTGTCACCATTCCCGTCCTCATCCCTGTCACCATCATCACCATTGTCATCATCATTGTCATCTCCTCACTTGAAATCAGATGACTGGCTTTGAGTCCAGCTGCCCGGGGCAGCGCTAAGTTCAGTCTTGGCATCTGTCGCAGGGGTGGTGGGGGTGAGGACAGCCACCTTCCAGGGTTGCAGTGGGGACCTCATGAGTCAGTGAGTGTCGCTGTGCCCCCATGAAGGGCAGGGAGTGTGGGTGTGCGTGCGAACCCAGGGCTCATGGGGCTTAGGACTCAGAGGTCCTGCTTGCTCTCCCTGAGGCTGGGCCCGTGGCCTTGAGCAGGTTCCTTAACCTCCCTGAGCCTCAGTTCCCTGCCTGGCCGGAGGGTGCAGCCTTGGCGCCGTCTTGGAGCCCCCCCTGCCCCGACTGGCTCAGGAACAGCCCACACTCCCCTCTCTGTGCCCTTTGCAATCGTGATGTACATCGCTGCACCCTTTCTGCTATGAGTGGTGGGGAACTCGTTGTAGATGGTGTTTCTGCTCCGCTGGCTCGCCGCGGCTGGGGCTGTGGTTTGGCCTTGACCTTCCTGTGATCTTGTATGCCTTTGCCCCGACTCTCCTCCTGTCATCCTGAAGCTCTATACCAGGTCCTGTCTTTGGTATGGGCTTGCCTTGCCGGATGGTGCTGGCCAGGGGCGGCACCCTCCAGGGGGCAGATAGCACCCATGCTCCCAGGCCGTGACTGAGTGAGTAGGGGGGCACAGGGAGGCTTACTGGACCCCTTGAGGGTCTCAACGCTGTGCCCTGTGCTGTGGGGGGGTTCCCAAGGAAAAAGGCAACCAGCCCCCATCCCCTATCCCCACTGGGGAGCTCCCCATCCCGTGGGGATGCTGGGCCGGGGACTCCTTTTCGAACTCAAGCCAGACACCTGACAGTTGGCCTGTGCCCTTGCTGGGCCCTGACTCCTTGACTCCAGGGGGGCTGGTGACCTTACCTCTGGGACCAGTACCTGCGACGGGGTCTGGGCAAGGCCGAAGGATGTGCGGGAACAGGCCCTGTGGGCGAGCGAGCGGGGGGATCAGATCCCAGCTCTGCCTCTTCTGCACACGTGACCTTGGCGGGTGAAGGACTCGGAGCCTTAGTTTCTTCATCTGTGTAAGGGGATAATACAAGCACCCAGCCCCATGCCTCCGGGGAGAGAAGATGATCTAGTGTATGTAAATTGCTGGGCACAGTGGGAGTGCTCAGTACACCCCTGAGTACTGCTGTGACATAGTCCGTGAGTATCGAGTGTGTCGCCCGTCTCAGTGGTGGGGGAGACAGAGTCAGAGAAGCTATAGCAGCCCCTGTCTGGGCTCTGGGTCTGCCCTGACTTGGATTCCACACCTGCCTCTGATCAGCTCTGTGATCTTGGGCAGTTTATTTTACATCCTCGTGCCTCAGTTTCCCCATCTGAAAATGCAGATAATGAGAGGATCTCCAGTAGAGTTTTTGCTGCTTCATTTAAAGAGCGGAACACAGTCTGGCTTCTAGGAGCCTCCTGATGATGGTTTTAGGTGTGACTAAGGGGACAGCAGGGAAGGGAAGAGGTGAGCTGTAATCCCAGCTCTGTGCTGGTCTCCCTGTGTGGACCCGAGCGAATCTTTCCTTTTTCTGGTCCTCAGTTTCCCCAGCTTTTGAACAAGGGCGTGGGCTCTCTCAGAGAGCCCTCTAAGCCCTGACAATGTATGGCTCCCCGAATCCCCAAAGGAAGGGAGCATGTGTGGGGCTGAGGGACTAGCAGGTGCAAAGGCCCTGAGACTGGATGGTATTGGCTTGGTAGAGAGTGGAATGGGCCACCCTGAGATGGGCAGGGCTCGGCCCGCCTCTCACAGCGACCAGGGACCTGGAGCAGGTGTTCACTTGTGCTTTCTTCCCCTTTCTTTCCCCCAGGGCTCTCTTCCCCAGCTCCCACCCGTGGATGTGATGGCAGCACCGGCTCTGTCCTGCTATCTGTCCCTCCTTGTCTTCCTCCTGGCCCTGGCCATCCCTCAGGGATTCACAGCGGCAGATGGTGAGGATCCTGGCATCTGGATAGCTGTTCTTTCTCTTGGGAAGGCGGCCAACCCTTGTAGAACCCCTTTCAGGACCCCTGCTTCTGGGCAGAGGCCCTTCAGCAGGGGCAGGAGGGAGGCAAGGGCAACGGGACCAGAGATCAGGCGTCCACCTTCTCCCTTGGCCCTTCTGCGGCCAGCCACTCATGCCTCATCTTGTTAGCAGACACTCCCAAGCTCACATGCTTCTACAACTCAAAAGCCAACATCTCCTGTGCCTGGAGCTGGGATGGGGACCCACAGGCCTCGTCCTGCAAGATCCATGCTTGGCCAGATAGACGGTGAGTGTGGGGTTGACCAGCAAGAAGGCAGCATCTCGGGATCGGTGTGCGGGGTGGGGGTGTGGTTCCTATAATCTTAGAATCTTGGGACTCCTTCCTGGCAGACTCCAAGATGTTGCACTTTGAGAATCTGGATTGATAGGACCCACAGACTCTTGGTGTCCCTGAAGTCTGGAAAACAAAGGGGCTGGATATTTAGACTGCTGGAACCAGGGCGGGAGTGAGGAGTGGGGGTCCAGGCTGCAGGGGAGGGGCCGGAGATGAGCTAGACAGGGTAGTTTGGGGACACTGGGCTGTGAGACTGATGGGTCAAGACTAAAGTCGACTTCAGAAGCAAGGGGCGGGGGAAGAAAGGGGGCTCCCTAAGCTTTCTGAGAGACATCTAGGGCAGCTATGGAAACAGGGGCCTGGGCATGGTTGGGATTCTGGGGGCTGGGAGGGAGTCAGGGAAGGGGCTGCTGTGATCCGTGCATCTTGATGACAACAGCAAAGGTGGCTTTGGGTTTGGCCGTGGTCTTGGGTGGGTGGCGATTCCACAGGGTTGCAAGTCCAGCCCTGAGGGAAGACTCTGGAGGGCTTTAGGTGGGGAGGCCGACGTGTCCTGCACTGTTTGCTTCTAGAAGATCACTGTGGCTACTGTGAGGCCAGGCTGGGGAGGACAGGAAGAGGTGCTCGTGATGGGAGGGGGAGCAGGTGGGGGTATGGGGGTCTCTACTGAGGTTGGCATAGAGCCTGCACAGACTGGCCTTGCTGCAAGTGTGGGGCCATCCCGAGGGCCGGCTCTGGGGGTCCCTCCTTTTGTCCTAAGGAGGTTCTTTTGCCTTGAAAGGCCTTGGAACAGATCCTGCGAGCTGCTCCCACTGAGCCCGGCGTTCTGGGTGTGTCACCTGATTCTTGGATCCCCAGATGTGAGTACTGAGAGCCGAGAAGAGAGCCCAGGGGAGGGCAGGTGCGGGGCGGGGAGCTTCAGGGGCAGAGCAGGGCTCAGAAAGCCCAGTGGCTTTGACTACAGCCGGTGGCACAGCAGGCTGCCCCGGGGCAAGAGAGGCAGAAGGAAGCAGGGCAGCATCCAAAGGCCAGAACTCAGGGCTGACTGAGGCTTGAGAGATCTGTGGTCCGAGGGGCTCGGTCATTCTGCCTCTGCTCCACTCTTCTCCTCATGCTTTGTGGGTCCTGCGACACTTCTGTACTCTTTATCAGGTGGGGGGAGGGGTGCCCACCCGTAACAACACCCCCTCTGAGTCTTCCAAGGTCTTGGCAAGTGCAAGGCAGCATGGGCTTAAGAGTGTGGATCCTGGAGCTGAAGGTTTGGGCACCTGGTCCCAGCTCCACTGTAACACCCACTGGGTGACATCAGGCAACTGCTGCGTCCTAGGCTTCCCTTCTCGAAGTGGCAAGAATGACGGCACCTGCCTCGTAGAGCTCTTCTGGGGGTTAAAGCACTAAACACCGTGCCCAGAGCAGAGCATGCACTTGACTTTGTAGTCCGTGGATCCTGGGGACTTTGTGGGTGGGCTCCAGCACTGCCTCTTTCTTACCAGAGAAGAAACTGAGGCTCAGAGAGGCCCTGCCAGTGAGGGGCAGAGCTGGGACTGAACCTTCTAGATGGGCATGTGGCCACGTCCATGCATGGGCATCAAATTACTGTTGGTCACGCCGTCCTTGACAGGAGTGGGCACTAGGGTTGCCCAGACCACCTCTTCCAGCCGTCATCGGGTCATACCCATTCTTAAGGGGCAGGAGAATGTGGAGATAGGCTCACACGTCTGGAGTCAGATGGCCATGCCTGTCCCCGTGAGCTCTGCAGAGGGTCTGCCTTCGGATCCTGGCCCCACCTTTTCCTCGCTGTGTGACCTCAGGCGAGGCCCTAGCCTCTCTGAGCTTCAGCCTTCTTGGCTGCAGGACGAGAAGAGACATAGGGCTTGTCTCACAGGGTGTTGAGTTAAATGAGAGAACGTGTGTCCAGCACGCAGAAGAGCGCGTGGACAGAGGATGAACCCAACACAATATATTCCTGGCATCTTTATAAGGACTATGATCATAGTAATAATGACGATACTACTATCATTATCTGGAAACATCAGGCCCCTACAACAGCCAGACACAGCAAGGGGCAGCGTCCTTGTGTTGGAGAGGGAGGAATTGTTCCCAGCTCTGGGGACTCATACGATCAGGTTCAAGTTTCGCTCATGGTGGGCCCTGTGGCAGGTAGGTCAGAGGGACTGTTTCCTGGGTCCTGGACCTGAAAACACCACCTCAGAACCCAGAGCACAGATCTGGAGGGGACATGCATCAGACTTTCCTCCCACAAGGCGCTCTTCTGCACAGGGAGGAGGCTGCCATAAGCCTCTCATTCCACAGCCCTCGGTCAGGTGTCACAGCCTAGGGCTGCGTCTCTGTGGGGACAGTGGTTACAGAGGCCTGGCTTTGAATCCAGACTCCCCTGCTGACCCGTGCGTGACTTTGGGCCACTCACCTGCATTATGAGGATGGTTTGCTCTGACAATCAGCTAGAGGAATGCCTAAGGCACCCGAATAGGGCCTTCCCACGGGAGAGGCTTGCCGCGTGCCCATTTCCTTCCCCAAAAGCCAGGGTGTGGGAGTGGGGAGAGGTTGGCTTTCACACTCCGAACTGTTACACAGGTACAGTTCCAGACCTGCCTTCTCTTGGGGGCTCATCCTGTTTGCATGCCTCTTGGAATGGGGAACTCCCTCCCTTTCAAGGCAGCTCACTTCACTTTAGATCACGGATCAAACTCTGCTTGCTGCCTGTTTTTGTAAATAAAGTTTTATTGGCACACGGCCATGCCATTCTCCTATGGTGTCTCTGGTTGGTTTTCACAGGCCAACAACAGAATTGAGTAGTTGCGACTGAGACCGTTTGATCTGCAAAGCTAGAAATATTTACTTTCTGCACCCTCACGGAAAAAGCCTGCCGACCCCAGCCTTAGCCGGAGGGGCTCATGGAGGGGCCCCACTTTTGTTGTGGTCTTGGTCTTCCCTCTCTCCTATTCTCCCCACCACCCGCGCCCCATCCCTACCATGTCCTTCTCTTGCAGGCTCAGAGTCTGACTGCAGCTGACATTGTCAAAATGAGCGTGATATGTCACGAAGGGGGGAGGTGGAGGACACTGATGACCCAGGACTTCAAGCCCTTTGAGAACCGTGAGTGAGGAATTGGGAAGGGTAGGGGGACTGGGGCGGGCTGGGAACCCCCGTCCTGTTTTTCCCTCTGGGACCCTCCCTGATCCAGTCTCTTTCCATACCCACGTGTGACCTCTCACTGCCCACTGCCCTCAGGCTGTAGTTCTGGCTCCTTCCCCCGAAACTCAGCATCTGGCCCGGGCTTCCCAATCGAGCACTGCTCCTCTCCTGGCCTGTATTCCTGTCACAACCAAAGGCCAGCTCTCTGAATTCAACTTGCCCATTCATGCCTCTGAGCCCTTGCATTTGTGGGTGCCACAGCCCAGAAAGCTCTTCCTTTCAGAAAAGTTCCCCCTCACCATTCAAGGCTCAGTGAAAAGTCATCTCCACCAGGAAGCCTTCCCAGACTCTCCCAGCCCTTCGTACCTCCTCTTTCAGGGTGTTTATGTTTTTTCAGGGTCCTTAATGCCTGATTTGGGGACTGTCTCCCTCACTGGGCTGTGAGGTCCCTGAGGGCAGAACGTCTATCTTCCCTAATTCTCTACTCCAAGTACCCAGCACCAAGCCTTATCTGGGCAGTGCTCTGGGAAGGTTTTTGAATGACTGCATGCCCAGTCCCATCCCCAGACCATATAAGGGAGAAAGGGCGAGATCTAGACAGTGTGCTCAATGCAGCCTTGCCTTAACAGAATGAGGTCTGCCCAGAATATCATTTCACATGTCTGAGCCTCAGTTTGCCCATCAAGAATGGGGAGAATCAGTTATCGGCTGGACCCTGGGTTGCCATAAGGAGTCTGTGAGTCTGTGACTGCTTAACACATGCTCAACAGACATTCACTTAGTGTTATTCGTGTAGTTCAAGAGTCCCAGGCTTAGAAAAACTTAGGTCAGTTTAATTTCAGAATTATTAAGTCTTATAATCCTATAAGGTTCCTGAGATTCAATTAAATGACATGAAACGATTCCTGTAAAGCTCTCAGATCCATTCTGGAGGCAGAGAACAGAGGCCTTCATTTGTTTTCATACAGCAGATTATCAGGTGTCTTAATCAGGTAATGCTCCAGGCACCAAGAATATGTCGGAGACCACATTCCCTGCCCTCAGTGAGCACACGATCTGCTGGGGGAGATGGAAAATGAACAAAGAACCCCAAATAAATACTTGGTGTATCAGGTGGGGTTAAGTGCTAGGCAGGAAAATAAAACAGGTTAGGGGGTAGAAGAAGTCTTCTCCAAGGAGGTGAGGATCTCTGGGGGTGAGGAGGGTGCCCAGGAGGGAGAAGGAGCAGGTGCAAAGGTAGAGATGGGGGCATGTCTGAACTTTATCCTCTTGGCATGCCATGGTGACCCAGCATCCCCCGAGGTCACTATCTCTTCCTCTCTCTCACCTCCAGTTCGCCTGATGGCCCCCGACTTACTCCAAATCACCCACGTCGGGACCCACAAATGCAACATAACCTGGAAAGTCCCGCAGTCCTCCCATTACATTGAAAGTTACCTGGAGTTTGAGGCCCAGACAAGGTCCCCAGGCCACAGCTGGGAGGTGAGTGCATGGCCTGGTCCCCACCTGTCCCGACTCCTCCCTCCAGTCCTGGTCACCCTGTCCAGGCTTCATGTCAGCAAAGTCACGGTAGTCCCCAGGCGGCCCCTGCTGCTCCCCTGTCCTGCCTGCTCTGGCCTCCCCGCCCCGTATGTGCCCCCCAACAGCCCAGGGCTTCCAGCTGGTGGCAGATGTCAGGGCTAGAGTTTATGTGAGATTTCAGAGGCCCTGGGAAGCAACCTGTCTGTGCAGCTCTGTGCATGGATGGTGAGTGAGAGGGAGGGGTTCAGGATGCCCTTGGGCTTTGGGGCTGAGTAGTCAGGGATGCGGGGGGGAGAGTGGCAGGGGAGGAGCTGGCAGGGAGGAATGCAGGTGTCGCCCACCAGCCTCCCAGCCAGCCCCTGCCATGGGAGGTGAGGTGGGCTGTGGGGCCCCCTCCACTCTGACAGCCCCCCGCCTCTCTTTGCCCCAGGAGGCCTCCGTGCTGATCCTCAGGCAAAACCAGCAATGGATTTGCCTTGAGACACTTACTCCGGGCACCTTGTATGAATTTCAAGTGCGGGTCAGGGCCCACCTAGGCAGTCACAAGGCTTGGAGTCCCTGGAGTCAGCCCCTGGCCTTCAGGACGAGGCCTGCAGGTACCAGGGGACAGAAGGGGTGGTACGGAGCTCAGACCAGAGGGGATGGCTGGTGTGTGGCCTGGAGGGCAGCTGGTGGGGGAGGCCTAGGACTGGGGTACAGGGCTCAGCCTGAGTGGGGCTCATCTGCTATGGTTAGCCCACTCATTGTGACACTGCAGGGTGAGCAGTGTGGTCGGGGTGGGCTGCTCGCATCTGGAAGCCTCAGTTTCTGCATCTGTAAAGTGGGCACTGTGCTACCCGGCAGACTGCTGTGATGAGGCACGCGATGCCCCTTGTCAGCTGGGCCCACGGCAGGTCTCCTGGGCCAGCCGGGACCTGCCAAGGCCTTGGGTCAGAGGCCAGCCTGTCCCTAGGCACCAGGGTGGCTGCAGGGGGTGGGGGATGCTAGAGGGATCTGCGCGAGCAGGGGCACTTCTCTAACCTCTCTCCCTGCTTCTCCTCCCACCCCTGGGTGGCTTCAGGGAAGCGGACTCCGCCCTTTCCTTGGTTTGGCCATGTCACCGTGGGCATTAGCAGTGCCTTCGGCTTTCTCATCTTGGTCTACTTGTTGGCCAACTGTCAGTACATCGGACCGTGGTAAGAGCCCTCCTTTCCCGCTCCTTCGTGCTCTCATCTGACACATACCCCCTGACTGCTCAGGCCCTCAGCTCAGACTCCTGCTCAGACACACCTGTGCTCCCTCTGCCCTCCCCACAGTCCTCCCTGCCTGATACCTAGCTTTTCCCTGGCACCAACCCCCAAAGACGGAACCCCAGGGAACCAGCCTGAGGGGAGCCGGGGAGGGAGAGCCCCATGGAGACCCCGCCCAGAGCATGACTCTGAGTATGTGTGTGCACATGTGTGTGTATGCGTGTGTGCAAATGCCTGTCTCTATGTGTATGTGTCCTCAGGGATCTCTCTAGATCCCTTTGTCGAGCCCCAGCTCAGTGCCAGGGCTGGTACTGAGTGCTGGGAATACAAGGGCAGGCTACATACTTGCGGTCCCAGCTTCATTGAGCTCATGGTCGCGTGGAAGAAGGCAGATGTTTATAAATCATACGCAAGTACAATGACACACCATGATAAAAGGGTAAAGGAAGGTACTCGATGGATTGGAAGCAGGCCACAGGGAGAGGAACCTTGGCTGGGGGATGGCCCCAGAAACATGTCTAAGGAAGTGATGATTCCCTTGAAATCTGAAGGAGGAGCTAACCAGGCATGGGGAGGGGATGGGGAGTGCATAGGCAAACAGAGGAAACAGGGTGTGCAAAGGCCCTACATGTGTAATGCAAAGCAGCATGACAGCAACTGAGAGTTCAGGGAGGCAAGTGTGGCTGGAGACCAGAAGGGGTGGAAGAGAGGGCTAAGGAGCCTGAACATCTAACCAGCATCTAAAGCAGCCAGGCTTTCTGGGTCCTTGAGGCTATGACCACATTTTTGAGGCTGATGCATACAGATACCGGGGCACTCAATGTGGCAAGCAGAGCATGGGCTGGAATTCAGCACCCACTCACTACCCCCCTAAAACCGGGAGCCCTTGGGCAGTGCACAACCTGAATGACCATCCATGACAGTCTGGACATGGAGACACACAATCTGGTCTCTTTCCTACCTCCTGTCTCCTTGTTCTCTCTACTCCAAACATTTGGCTCTGTGCAGTCCCTGACCACTTGGGCTCTTGTGGTCCCCCACCCCCACATCCTTCTTTTGCACAGACCTCTGCTTTGTGTCCACAGAATGAATGGTCATGTTGCACACTTGGTTCGTGTCTGTCTCCCCATCAGAATGTCAGAAAGAGACCTTCTCTGTCTGCCATTCTTGTGTCCCTAGGCCCCCACCCTCCCTTACTGGACATTCACTTTGTACTGATCCAACAGATGAATGCGGAATGGCTCTGTACCCTCCCTTCAGGGCAGTGGGGTGCCAGCAGGACACCATGGCCCCTTTCCCTTCTCATCCTCATTCCGTCCCTCCTCTTCCCCTGTTCAGGCTGAAGAAGGTTCTGAAGTGCCACATCCCAGACCCGTCGGAGTTCTTTTCCCAGCTGAAGTCAGAGCATGGAGGAGATTTCCAGGTAGGAGTCTGGAGCTGGCGGAGAGAGGCAGGCATCTGGCTCGGGCTGGCAGGGGGGCCGCCAGAGGTGTGAGTGGGTGGGGAGGTGGTGGGTTTGCACTTTGCGAAAGGAGACAAATACTGAAGCAAGCAGCCTCTGGGCTGGGTGTGGGTCCCTTTCCCCAGCTCAGGCACCAGCATTCTCAAGCTGAGTGGCACCTCCTGTCTGAGCCAGACAGTCTGGTTCTAATCCCGGCTCCAGCCCTTTCTGGCTGTGTGACCTCGGGCGCGTTATGGAATGACTCTTGTGCTCAGCTTTCCCACTTGTACAACAGGGAGGGAAACTTACATAAGTGTTACTTACGTGGATGGGCCCAAGATCACTGGCTGGCATGTAGTAAGTGCTCAAGGGGCCCTAGCTAGAATTTTGGTCACCAGTCTGTTGACTGAGCAGGACCTGCCCCTTCTCCGCACCGCCCCCCATCCCCCACAACTTGTGCCGACTCTCTTAATGGGCAGCGGTTCCTCACCCTCTGCAGAAAGCGCTGCGCAGGCTCCAACACCTACTGGGCCAGAAATGTCAAGAGTTGGCTTTGGAATTCCCTATTACGGCTGATCAGGGCCCATTCTGGAATTCTTTGGAAAACTCCCAAGATTTGGGGATAGCTTGCCTACAGTTCTCTCGATGTGGGGGAATGGACCTCCTTAAAATTCTTCCTAAAGCCCTAAAGATAGTGAGCTCCCTGTCAACAGAGACATTCTAGCAAGTCTTGGCTGACTGTATGTCAGAAATATAGCAGAAGGGACTCCTGGTTGGAGGCTGGACTGGATGCATCCTTAGTCCTCTTCCCGGGTGAAAACTTTCTGATTCTATGGGACTAGGACCTTTTGAGCTGGGAGTGGGGTCCATCCTAGAGAGGTACCAACCACTCTGTCTTCCCATGTGGTCATCCCCAGGTCTAGATGCTTGCCCCAGACCTGGGGTGTGGAAGGTAGATCCCAAGGAGGCTGTGGGATGCGCAATGTGGTGAGGGTTGGGGCGGGTCAAGGGGACCCTACCCTCTCCTCTGCATCTGGGTGGGAGGTCTGCTCCTCTCTCCCTACCCCAGGACCTCTAGCTACCAGGCCACAAGGCCCACTGCTCTGTCCAGGGGACCCGGGGATATGTATGCCAGTGTGTGAGTGTGTGTATGTGAAGGGGGATGTGTTCCTCCTTGCACCTGCCTCCCTGCCCCGTCCCCCCAACTTCAGGGCACTGAGGACGGAAGCCCAGGCCCAGGAAGTAGCTGACCCTCTGAGAGGGGCCGGCACACCAGTCAGGGCTGGTCACAGCCCCGGCCTCTCCTTCTGGTTGCACAGCCCTTCCCCTCCTCCCTTGCCTCCTCCAGGGCTGGACCCCCCTCCCCACTCCACTCCCCGGAACCTGCTCTCTCCCTCTCCCTCTCTTCCCAGCCTACTGGGCGCAGGAGTGTAGGAGCCCAATGGGCCTGGTCCGTGTGCTCAGGGGATGCCAGTCCAGCTGCTGAGGGCTCCCAGGACAGAGGGCTGTTGGGTCCCCATCACACCCCCTGAGGGCCTGCTGTCCCTTTCACTTCTGTGGGTGGTCTGCCTTTTGCCCTGGGCCAGGGAGTTCCGCCTTCAGTTTCTTATTTTGACATTCTCCTGTTCACAATAAGGAAGTTAGGAAAGAGGGGGCTAAGTGTTGCGGGATTGAGGCTCAGAGAGGGGCAGTAACCTGCCCAGGGTCACACGGTCAGTGAGGACCAGGACTCTCCGGACTCTGGAGCTACCGGGAAGGGCTCTGGTGGGTACTTTCTTCTCTCTGTGGAGGGACAGTGTGGCAGGAGGGGGCTGCATATCACTGGGGGGCGGGCAGAGAATGTCAGGACCATCCGCGCCCACCAGAGATTTTGTCAGAGAGCCGGCTGTGTGTTCAGGGCTAGGGGATGACCCCTCTCTGGGCATCTGTAAGGTGGACAAGATGGGCTCCATTCAGGGCCCTTTCAGCTTTGACCCTGGTTTGTGGACTCACACACTTGGCTAGCCCCTACCTGATGCACTGAAGCTTTTCCCCTTTGCCTGGTGCCTCGTGTGGTGCCAGGCTCACAGCACCATAAACAATCCCTCATCGAAACAACACATCCCCTGGGCACCTACAGGAATCACCTTCCCCAGGCTGACCCAGAGCATTCTGCAAATCGGTGTGTGTGTGTTGCGGGGGGGGGGGGGGTGTAGTCAGGGAGGACTTCCTGGAGGTGGAAGCCCTGAGTAGACCGTAATGAGGAGTTGTTGCTGAGATTCTGGAGGAGGAGGCATCCTACTCACCTTCCATCTGTTCTCTCTCCTGGCAGAAGTGGCTCTCCTCGCCCTTCCCCTCATCATCCTTCAGTCCCAATACCCAGGCACCCGAGATCTCCCCGCTGGAGGTGCTGGACCGGGACACCAAGGCCACACAGCTGCTCCTGCTGCAGCAGAAGGGGCCCTCACCCTCGGCCGAGACCAGCGGCCACTCGCTGACCAGCTGCTTCACCAACCAAGGTTACTTCTTCTTCCACCTCCCTGACGCTCTGGAGATCGAGGCCTGCCAGGTGTACTTCAGCTATGACCCCTGCACAGAAGAGTCCGAGGAGGGCGGGGCTGGGGCGCCTGAGGGGTCTCTCCTCCCACCCCTGCCGCCCCTGCCAGCAGAAGACGATGCCTACTGCACCTTCCCCCCTGGGGATGACCTGCTTCTCTTCTCTCCCGGGCTCCTGGGTGGCTCTGCCCGCCCCCACACCATGGCCAGGGGCACTGGAGCCTGTGAAGAGAAGCTTCCCCCCTCTCTGCAGGAGGGAGCTCCCCGAGACTGGGCCCCCCAGGCCCTGGTGCCTCCCAACCCAGGAGTGTCTGACCTCGGGGATAGCCAGCCACCGCTGGAGTGTGCCCTAGGAGAAGCAAGAGAGGAGGTCCCGGCCCCTGGCCCCAGGGAGGGGATCGGCTTCCCCTGGGCTAGACCCCCCGGGCGTGGCCAGGTTGGAACCCCTGCCTCCTGCCTGACCCTGAACACCGATGCCTATGTGTCTCTCCAAGAGCTGCAGGAGCAGGACCCGGCTCACTTGGTGTAGACAGACCAGGCAGGCTGCTGCCCACTGTTGTGCCAGGCCCAGGTGAGGACTCTGTCCTCAAGGCTTGTCCGCTGCTGAGTCACCCAGTGCCTAGCTGCCCCCTGGACATCCCTGCCCTGAGGGCCCCCACCCAGCCTTGCCCACTCGGGCATTCATTTCCAAATGGCAACTGCTGCTCCCCCGTCCTGTGGCCCAAGCCAGGAATTGCAGTGGGTGGGGACACTGTGACTCCCCTCAGCTGTCACGGAGTCCCATGGCTTTTGCCTTTAAAGCATCCCTCCTCTGGAGCCCTGCAAGGACTCTTCAGGGAGAGATCTCGGGGTTCTCCAGGGATCTTCACCGTGTCCCCCTCACTGGGCTTCCTGCCCCAGTCCCACCCCCTCCTGCCCATCCTCCACAGGGCAGCCAGAGCGCTCTCTCCGAACCACAAACCATATGGATCTGCTGCCCTTGCTTAAAGCCCACCATGGCTCCCCGCTGCCCTCCGCACCACTTCTTGGCCTGGCTGTCATGTTGGGACATTACCTCCTAGAACCCTCCCAGAACCGTCATGTTGGGACATTACCTCCTAGAACCCTCCCAGTGGTCCGACTGAGCCACCAGCAGCTCCCTCACGCCCCCACACATTTGCACATGCTGTTCCCTGTACCTTCGGTGCTCTCTCCTCCCTCATCCAGGTGACCAATCCCCTTATCCCTCAAGGGTCCTTTCTGCTTCCTTTGGAGAGAAACTCTGCATCCATTAATGCTCCCGGACTTCAAGCTTCAGTGTCACGGGATGGCTAGACAAAGTGGCCCAGTCACTTCGCCCTTGGGATCTCTTGTGACCTCAGAATGCTTAGCTACTGTGTCCTTGCCACTGTGGCCCAATTTGTGACGCGAATCCCCGGGGAAAGCAGACACTGGCTGGATCTTTCCATCATGGTTTCATGGATTCATAAGTCATGCTGCTGGGAAGTAAACCTCTTCTAGTGGCTGCTTCTGAGGCTGGCATGCTGCATCCAGAAGGGCAACTTGCTTGGCACCCCTATCCTATTCCCTGTAGTGAACTATCTGGGACCACCTTGCTTGGACTCCCTGTGCCCGGCTGCCTTCACACAGGGGCCATCGTCCTCTTCTGAGGTCAAGACTCAGAGAGGCGAAGCCCCAGGCTCACTAGGCTCCAGCATGCCCATTCCAGCAAGAGCCTTGTCCCCTTTCACCGCAGTCCTCCCCACAGCACAAACACAAACTCACACAGCTGACCCCTTCCTCCTCGGTTCTCCCCATCACCTCTCCACTTCTCTTCCTTCTGTCCGCTGCACAGATCACACCTGTGATGCCTGCCACAACCTTCCTCTCACAGTAGCAACCCCGAGGAGCAAAAGACTCCTTCCCAGGTCCCTGATATGCGAGTGCACTGAGCCAGCAGTTATAGGCCCTGCTCCTAGCTGATTGGGTGCCTGACACAAGCCCACCCATAGGCCGACAAGCTTGCTGCCTATGAGCTGGCTTAGAACAGAAGCTCCGCCCAGTCAGGGAGGCCCGGCCTGAACTGGCCAATCAGATTTCTCTCAGTCTTGAGCATCTCAACTCAGGGTCTTAAGAAGGTAGGTCCCTGGGAGCAGGTGCCTGTGCAGTAGGCTTTTGGAGAAGCCTGGGGAGGAGGAATTCAGCCCGGTTAGCAGAGGGCACTGGGTTCTGCTACAGAGACTCCCATTGACAGAGGGCTACCGACGGTTCGCTCAAGAGTCTCATTTTCCTTAAGTCCGAAATAAACTCCCTTTTCCTGAGGTTGTCTGAGTCTTGGATCCTTATCACGGAAGAGCTTGAGCACTTGGTCACTCCTGACATACGATGCCACGTGTTCTGGGCCACGAGGCTCCTCAGTCCTGGCCTGAGCATCAAACCCAAGCTCCGTGACCAGACCCTCGCTCTGTGTCCCCGCGCAAACCATGAAACCCCTCTGTGAGTCAGTTTCCACTTGGAAGAGTTCTTGGGACAGTTCTGGTTCTTAAGTCTTGGGCATTTGTGCCATACGGATGTTCAATGACCTGTGTGTGCCATCTCTGTTATTGTTTACCTCATTATTTTTCTTCAAATCCTTCACTTTTTTTGTTCACTTTTATTTAAAAAGAAAAATCTTTGTATTGCTTCTGTAAACGGAAAAGCTGATATTCACTATAAATAAAAGGTGACTGTAAAAAGTAAATACAATAAAATAAAATGCCTCAATTCTTTGCCTGCTGTAAGTCTGCTCTCTTAGGTTAAAGGGGAGGTTAACAAGTGTTGGGAAACTGTTGAAGACATGCCAGCCAGCCACAAATGGTGAGAAAGCAAAAAGACTGTAAAAGGGATATCTTTTTCACTAATAGGAGTCAGGTTTATCTTATTCTGTGTCTGGACACCATCTGATATGGTCTCATGGGAAAATACAATTAAAATATCATAAAAATATAATTGATATATATATTTAATAGAATATAAATCAACATACTATAAACAGAATACACAATAAATATAAACCAAATAGAATATATAGAATTTTTACTATACGTAAATAATATATAAATATATGTTATACAAATTATATATGTGTGCATATAAATATATTTACATGCATATAAATATGTATAAATACATATAATATGTATATGTATATAATATGTATATGTATATAATATGTATATGTATAAATACATATTTATATGCATATAAATACATATGTGTGTGTGTGTGTGTGTGTATATATATATATATATATAATTTTTTTCTTCTTTGCCTTTGACTCTGAATAGTTGGACCAGATTATGGATGGCAATATTGGGCATTCATAAAGCCGCACCCATAGCAGACATCACTAATCAATTTCACCCACTCATGGCAGACATTGCTAATTAATCACGGCTGTCCTTCCTGCAAAGTTTGAGGACAGCTTGAGATTCTGCAGGCAGGTCCCAATTGATCCTAGCTGGCACCTGGTGACCTATCTGGACCAGATCATCCCTGTGTTCCTTGCACAACGGAAGGTCTTATCTTCCCAGACTGATTTCCCAGGCAGGGAAAACTGAAGCTGAGGTGTTAAGAGGCTGGAAAGCTGAGAGGGGTCCTATGAGCCGCTGCACTCAGGGAAGCCAGCTGTCCCCACCAGGTGTGACGAGAGACTCGAGCTGGTGGTGAGCAGAATGAGGGGTCGCCTTACACCAGGCGGACTGATGAGCCAGAAGCTATAGTGTGACATGTCCAGGGTGGGATGGAGTTTGTGCCTTGGGAGATGGGGCAAAGAGGGAGCAGCTGGGAGGGGCAGAAAGGGTGAAGCGGAGACAGTCCTGCCTGGGTCAGATTGCAGGGAGGGGAGCAGCACCAGCTGGGGACCAGGCAGCCAAGGGCAGGGAAGATCTGTCAGATGCAGAGTGGGAAGCAGGAGGCAGCTGGGGCAGACTTAGGAGAGATAAGAGAGAAGGAGGGAGAGGTGGCCAGGCTTTCCAGCCTCTCAGGTCTCCAATTTTTTTTTAAATTTTTTATTTAAGTTAATTTTAATTAATATATAGTGTATTATTAGTTTCAGGATAGCATTTGGTGATTCATCAGTTGCACAGAGCACCCAGTGCTCATGACATCATGTGCCCTCCTTAATGCCCATCACCCATTACCACATCCCTCCGCCCCCTCCCCTCCAGCAACCCTCAGTTGGTTTCCCCTAGTTAAGAGTCTCTTATGGTTTGTCTCCTTGTTTTCATCTTATTTTATTTTTCCTTCCTTTCCCCTACGTTCATCTGTTTTGTTTCTTAAATTCTACATAAGAGTGAAATCATAGGGTGTTTTTCTTTCTCTGACTGACTTATTTCGCTAAGAATAATGCCCTCCAGTTCCATCCACGTTGTTGCAAATGGCAAGATTTCATTTTTTTTCTAATGGCTGAGTAATAGTCCACCATATAACACATATACCACATCTTCCTTATCCGTTCATCTTTTGATGGACATCCGGGCTCCTTCCATAGTTTGGCTATTGTAGACATTGCTGCTATAAACATTGGGGTGCACGTGCCCCTTCGGATCACTGTGTTTTTATCCTTTGGGTAAATAACTGGTAGTGCGATTGCTGGGTCATAGGTGAGCTCTATTTTTAACTTTCTGAGGAACCTCCACACTGTTTTCCAGAGCGGCTGCACCAGCTTGCATTCCCACCAGCAATGTAAGAGGGTTCCCCTTTCTCCCCATCCTCTCCAACATCTATTATTTTGCAAACGTCTATTATTAATTTCAGCCATTCTGACCAGCGTGAGGTGGGATCTCATTGTGGTTTTGATTGATGTTTCCCTAACGCTTAGTGATGTTGAACATTTTTTCGTGTGTCTGTTGGCCATTTGTGTGTCTTCTTTGGAGAAATGTCTGTTCATGTCTTCTGCCCACTTTTTTTTTTTTTAAAGATTTTATTTATTTATTTGATATAGAGAGAGACATAGCGAGAGAGGGAACACAAGCAGGGGGAGTGGGAGTGGGGAGAGGGAGATGCAGACTTCTCGCCAAGCAGGGAGCGAGCTGTGGCCTTGATCCCAGGACCCTGGGATCATGACCCCAGCTGAAGGCAGCTGCTTAACCGACTGAGCCACCCAGACACACTTTTCTTTTCATTTAAAAAAATTATATTTTCTTCTTGACTGGGTTATTTGTTCGGACTCTATTAGTTTCATCATCTCCCCAGTCATCTGATGTACCCGCTCTCTCCTCCCACCTTCCAGCTCCACAGTCACTGAGCAATTTACGGTGGAAACCGTCCTTCCTTGGGTGAATAGCCCTATTCCATCTCTCTTAACGAGCAGCATCCTAGATGACTTCAAAAAAGATCAAGAAATGAATTTAGACACTGGGCCAGCTACTTCCCCAGCGTTATCCTTATCACCCGAAAAGACCCAGCCAGGCAGCTGTCCTGTTTCCCCATTTTGCAGATTAGGAAACTGAGGCACAGGGAAATTTAAAAATGCAGCTGATGGTTGCTAGAACTGGGATTCAAACTCCCGTATATCTGGCCACAGAGCTTTTGGTCCGCTGCATACACCAGGGCTGCACGGGAGACAATTACAT